ACTTCGGTGGGCTGCTGAGGTGTATAAACAGGTGCCTATGTACCTTGTTTGGCAACTCATATTAGAAATCTATCTATTCCTGTCTGAGAGAACAGAACCAATCAGACAATCCTCTAAATTTGTGTTTAAAGCCCCAGCTGTCATGTTGTCCCTACAGGCTGTCTTGCTAGTCAAGCTACTGTTGTGGGAATCCTTGATATCATTCAGCTGCTTTCCCAGAGAGGACATTGTCCCACGCTGGGATGAACTCCAACACTGTCTTGTACTGCAGCTGGTCGGTAGATCCACTATGAGCTAGATCCACTAACAGAATCTGAAGCAACCGACACCAGTTTAAGCTCAAACACAGAAAGTATGTTGTATGAATGATTTGCAGAGGGGAAAATAAAAACAGACTTGTTACCCACCAAACAGGTCTCTGCCTTTCAGCACAGGTAAGTCAGACTCTTTGCCTTAAACTAAATGTAGACTACGTGTTCACAAGGCAATTTTGAGCCAAGAAAAACCCTGACACATTTCCCCACATCCCCAACACAGTCACACACAGAACCGGAATCTGTGGGAAATCTGATTACACAGCACACTGCAGTAAGTTTTTCACTCACCAAACACTTCTTTGCCTGCTTGGCCCCCAGTCTTGGTGTAATTAAATGGGGGTGTAACAACTCTTCTGAAACTTGCACCCTGAAAAAAAAAAAAAAAAAGGGAGGCAGAGAAGTGAGAATCAGTCTTTCGCATAAAGAAAAGGTGATGAAGCATTATGGCAGTAACAAGCTCAACAACATCTAGGCGTAGCTACATGGAGGGTCTCCACTTTGATGACCTAAGGATTTCCTGGTCCTGCTGGCTTCATCAGCTGTTGACCTTTAGCTTGCACTGAAATGGTTCATGGCCCAGTGTGAAGCAGCGGTAATGAAAATCAGCACAACCATATCTCTACTACGTTTCTTAGGTGGAAAAGAGTAGAGTGTCCAATCATAGTCTGGGACAAGTTGATGCCCTAAGTATCTCAGGGTCTGAGTAAGACAGAATGGAGTGTGAGAGTGACAGACTAATAGGTGCAGCTATATTGATATGTTGCGGTGGAGAAAAAGCTGAGTGTAAAACCTTTTGATTTACCGGTAAATCTGGGTTTGTACCCTCACCCATGATCATGAACTCTGGGAGAATGAGGTTCCGGATACAAGCTGCAGAATTAGTTTCCTTCTAAGGTTTGCTGGTCAGGGTTGCTAGATCTGCTAGTCCTCCACCTGGAAAGGAGCCAGTTGAGATTGTCCACCTCTTCCAGACGGCCCACCATCTAGGCAGATGGGCAAGAAGAGGTGGCCAGGATGAGGGAAGTCTAGGCTTCTCTGCTTGGACTGCTGCTGCAAATTGCCTCTATCATTCAGATACGTGGTAAACAATGGGAGGAAAAATCAGACTTCATGGACATATCTTCTGGGTCTGAAAAGGAAAGCCCAGCTGAAAATGGCTTAAACCCAAATACCTGCAGGGAGTGACCTTCCTTGCCAAACGGCGTACTAGAAGTGTGTTTACTGAGATCATAGAATAAGGTAACTGGAGATTAGTTATATATAAGCTTCAAAAGAACAGCTCATGGACTCGATGGGGGGGGGGGGCTTTCAAATTTCAGTGATATTCATAGACAATTTCATTTTGTAGACTTTGGTCTTCAGAAGGAGACACAAAGCCAGCCTGCAGTGTGAGCCTGTAGTCTCACAGTTTCAGTGCTCATAACATCTGGTTTCAGAAAGAAAACATGACAATGGCAAAAACACTCAGCTTTTACAAAACAATGGATAATATCACAGTTGACGTCCATCTTTTATATACAGTCTAATGTAACCTGCAACATCTCAGTACCTTCTGCAGGTGACCCAGACTGTTGTACTACTGCATAATCTGTACTTGATCTTGTTTCTTTAGATATTTATACTTTAGATATTAAGAATTTGGGAAAGAAATTACCTTGTCAATTTAAACCTCTAGTGGATAAGCAACACAACCTCTGGCCAATTTGCCCAAGGAACTACAACCATTATAGTGAGACAATAAGTCCAAAAATAGAGCAAGGCCACATCGAGGCAACAGAATTAGATCTTGAGTGATACATATTCCCTGAGGACGATGGTGACCAAATTTAATCTTTACACCTGAGGACAAATGGATAAATCTCACAACTAAAACAGCACACACAAAGACAGAAATGTGCATTTGCATTCTTGTTCTCTGATGGTGTGTGCGTGCATGGTGCAAGAAAGAGTGGATGCACTGTTAACTTCTTTTATTTAATAGTTTTTAGTTAACATTGCTGTTTGCACCTTCTTGTGATTGCCAGACACAGTAATAAAAAGAACAAGAAAGAAGTGCAGTTTCACCGAATGTGAATCTGAGACATTTACCAGAGAAGCGGCGAAAAGGAAATGGGTTTTTTATGTTCTCAGCTCTGGGATCACAAACAGAAGCAAAACGACCGAAAGGGAAAGGCTATCAACTCTAAGGTGACAGAAATGTAGCTTAGCCAAGGGAAGAAAATTAAATCATTACGCATCAGCGCAGTAATTTATAGTACCCATAATCACCAATTAAAACTTAGCCACTGAAAGCCATTTAGTGTTTACTAACTGCACATATTAGCACCACCTGTATTAATTACCCGTTTTGACTACACTGTACAATATTAGGCTTGACCTGACCAAGAAAATGGTCTGAAATCTGACTCCGTTTATATGGTGGAAATGTATTTTTGTTTTTCTATAAATGTTAATAAATCTGACATCAGAACACCATCATGTGCCCTGACCTTTAAAAAAAAAACAAAAAAACAACATGGCTGCATCTAGGGCTGTGCGATATGAAAAAAAATCTCATATCCCGATATTAAGACATCTATTGTCCCGATAACGATATAAATCACAAGAATGTAACATTTTCTGTAAATTCTGTGACTCTCGGGCAGCTCGACTTAGTGAAGTGTTTCCAGCTGGGCAGCGTACCTGGAGTCGAGTGTTTTAACCGATGCATGAAACGATACATTTTTAGACGTAAGTTGTAACGCCCGCCGTTTTCTTTGTGAGTATTTATTACACAATGTGCTGCGGGGAAAAGCCTGTTCTAACGTTTGAATCTAAGGTTTATTTTTTAGCACCTGACGACTCTTTTTTGCTTCTCATCCGTAAACGCTCTGCATACCCTTTCATGTGATTCAGTTTATTTTGAAAAGTCTCAACAGGATCTTGAACTTTATTGTGAAAGGTTAATGTGGAAACTAAACCAGCGGACACGCGATGGTTTTGCCGTCGTTGTTGCTAACGACAACGCATAAAAACAGGCGCTTGTCCGTCTGTAGTGTGGTTATATTAAAAATAAGACAAAGAGAGAACTTTAGGAAATTTATATAGCCACTACAGTGACCATCAAAACCATGAAAAAAATATTGCCCTAAACAGTTTATTTTACAACACCACGAAACAAACGATAGCGTAAAATGAAACGATAGACGATTTTATATCGTTATCCGATACATATCGTTATATCGAACAGCCCTAGCTGCATCTGGATATTTGTAGCTTAATCACCAGGCTGGGTGGCTTTTCTTTAGCACCTTCTGAGATAAAAGTGGTAAATGGCCAATGCCTTACATGACCAGTATAAGGCAATACACCAAATGAAAACTGTTGAATATTAAGGCTGTTCTTCCTTCCCTGAGGACTTCAGGAACACTGAATTGTGCCATTTATGCGCCCCAAGGAGGGGAAAGCTACAACCCAACTGTGCATCTGCAACATAAACCAGATGCTCCCATCCCCATTTTAAAAGCTTTTGACCACTGGCAGCTTTAAAGTCTCACCCTGACTTTAAAGTGTATCTAGAAATCTCTCAAAGAGATGAACAGATGAAGAAAACTAAAAAAAAAAAACTAAAAAAAACAAAAAAAAACACACCACTGCTGAATTCACTGTTAGGTTCTTACGCATGTTTGTTTCATAAGAGGAGCAAACCTCTTATTTTTACTTAAGCACACTTCGGTTCAGAAGTCAGCTGTGTGTAATATTAGTTTAGGTGATACTCCAAACGACAATGGTGCTATATTATATTAAAAAAGAGACACTCTGAGCATAACTACTATTGTTCTACAACACACAAAATTAAAGAACATCTATAAGGTCTAATAATAGTTTATCTGACTGACTCCTGATTCATTCTGCAAACTGGAGCTACCATATGAGTAGGAATGTGTTATCTCATTGCCAAATGACTAAGCCGTACAGCTGAAAAAGCTAGCATTATAATACTTATAAATTAATCTTTAAAAACATGTCCTCGTTTCTCCTCAAAGTTGCTGATAACTAAAGGAATGCTGTTATTTCTCTGCAGGAAAAAAAAAGAAAAACCAACTTTGACCCGTAAGCTGGTTCATATGATTCTCACACGACCATACACATACCTCTCATCTCGGCATGAGGTCGGTGTCTGCAGGGAAACAGGAATGAAGCAAAACATAAATTCTGGTACCAAAGACATGTAAGTGAAACCTCTTGTGCTCACTGTTACAAAACAAGTATATTGGTTTGTGCCAACAAGACCAATAAAAGAAAAAATTTAATAAGAGATTTGTGAGGCTGGGAGATATATGCACATGGGTACTTTGTCACACTGCGTATTTGACTACAACTCCTTAGAAATGTAATTCTACTTAAAAAGCAATAAATGTACACATGGTTTCTCAAGTATTGCAATATTTTGAGCCCTTGAAATGTGATAAATCCCCCCAAAAGTCAGGCAGTTTTACAGACCTGTGATGGTTACATCAGAGCGGATTAAGCCTCCACTTTTTGATCCACACCAATAAGCCGGGAAGCTACATAACTAAAACCTTGAGCCAAGTGGGGAATGGGAACACAACTTTTTTCTTGAGACAGGAAAAAAACAACATGTCAGAGAAGAGGGTTTTCTTAGTAAGGCCTCAGGCCCACATAAGAGGGCAGATGTCAGCTGCCACATGGACAAAACTGCCAGCAGATGGTCTGAGGAAAAAATGAAGGACCACAGTCACAGTCTGGCGTGGCAGGAGAGGAAACATATGACACACCTGAGTTTAGGTCATGCATCTCTGCAGACAATCACCAAAAACAGCAGGGAACATAATAGGTTGTGAATTGTTTTTTATCTCACACATAACTGCTGTCCTAAGCAGTCATTCAACAGTGGTGAGACATTACAGCACTGACACACAACAGCAAACTGTTACAGCCTAGCTTAACTGCCTCATAAAGCACAAGCAAGCCTACACTTTGCGGTTACAGAGGGACTACTTTCGTCAAACCGTGGACAAGCATTTACCAATGTTATTGGTAACAACAATGATAAAGGTAGTCATCTCAACAGGTGAAACCAGCAATCCTCTTATCAGAAGTAGCTATTCTGTATATGCATCATAAGAACCATCTCACCATGAGCTGCAGTGCAGGTTTCATTGCAGCAGACTCAGCACAGGTGGTAGGTGAAGACTACTACAAACTGATCCCAAGGTACTTTGTCAGCAACTGAAAAACATGGTAAATGAATGACCAAGAAATCCTTCCAAAAGCCCTTAAATGTCCATGTAAAACAAATCTGAGAAAACAAGGTTGGCACATGCCATATGGTTAAACCCCAGTATCCCACTGGGATTTGAAAAT